CAAATTTTTAGTAAAGGTGTGAAAAGTCGATCTAAAAATGGTCCAAAATTCATTATTTTTCATCCCCCTTCAATGTTGTCTATAAATGAATAGAATAGAAATGATTATTATGGAATTGCGTATTAAGGAATTATTTTATTGGCATATTTTTATATATTATCTGTACTTTGTCGATGTTCTGAAGTCAGATATGTTCTGTACTGAGATATTAATTATTAATAAAAGCAACATAACTATTGTAATATACAACAAGTATGTACATAGCGATGGAAAAGTCCTTCAAGGACAGAATAGAACATAAACATTTAAGCTTATCAAGAAGCTAGTGGAGATTTGTTAATATTAAAAACCAAAAAAAACTTATTTCTATTGTTTGATGTAAGGTCTAAATTTTGATGGAAAACCTATAATAATTAATGTTGAGGATGGCACTCATATTAACAGGGGACAGTGGGGCTCAATAGACCTACTTCGTGGTGTGACAATGTTTTCCCAATTCAGCATGGCAAACCTCTGGGGGAATGAAGAGGTATTGTTTTGAAACTCGTCGGGATATCATTGTAATTCCCTTTCGTATCCTTTGGGATACTCATGAATTTTTCGATGAGTTAAAACAAAAGAAAATGAATCCCCTGGAGGTTCGTCACGCTGAATTGGGAAAACATTGTCACACCACAAATAAGGTCTATTCAAAACCCGGGACAGGTTTTTCCATCAAAATTCAAACCCTAYATCTTACAGTAGAAATAGGGCATTATTGGTTTCTAAACCAGTTAAGATGCACACGCTTGTGTTTGCATTGAAGTTCAAGACCTCATAACTGCAGCCMTTGTTCTTGAATTTTAATGCGAACCCCCGCACTAGCGTTTTAACCTTGATATAGAATAGACCTAATCTGTATTGTTGCAAGGTGTTCCTGCTACACCAGGTTTATAACTACACTCTGTGCCAGTTTTAATCACATTGCAAATTTGGCATTTGGGTGCTGTCAATCATTCGGCTGTCACACCTCATAGACCATAAGTAGAGTAGCAATGTGTGGTTTGTGAGAAAAAACTGTTGTAGTCTATTTATGGCTCTATGAGGCCGGACTACCAAATGATTGAAGCAACATAAAGCAAATTTCCAATGTGATTTGAACTGGTGCCAGCRCATAGTTATAAACCTAATGAAAATGACATGTGGTCTGAATGAAATGGGTAGACATTGAACCAATACAAATTAGGTATTAATGGAAMCATGGTTACAAACTCTAGTGATAGTTCTAGCTTGCAGATTAGTCCTACCTATCTTCAATATTTTGATTTTATATGGGGTAACTATTTGAAGTCAAAGGAAAGTATACTTYCTACAATTTTTAATTTCATCTTGAWTGAGACAATCATGCTGGTTGCTAGGTGCTCTGACGATACCATTTTAGCCCTAGTACATAATGTATATTGTAGTAAAGGTGAAAGCCACTTAGAACTCACTTAACTAACTTGAAAGCTTTTGCATAGATCCAAAAAATATAAATCTTAGGAACTGAATCTAGAGATTTATTAGTTACAAAATAATTGGGTTATATGGGGGTATGAGATTAAGAACTTCCCTTCACACAGAACAAAACATATGAATAATTTGAAAACACTATTTACATTGTAGAAAACCAGAAAATACCAGCTGATCTTGGAAAGTATAAAACTTATTAATACTTGATTTAAATTTTCTGAACAAATTGCCACTAATATGAACACTGTTGACATTTTCTAAAGAATATCAAAAAAACACGACTTTTGTAACTGGGCAAATGGTCACCCTTTCATCTCCTTATCTAGAGGTGTGTAAAGTGGTRGTGAGTTTTAGTATACCACTTCACAATTCCAAAAAAACTCAGTTACTTAGACTCAGTTACTTAGATCAACTAACCTTTGAAAGAAGGAATGCTTTTAACCAGTTGAGAGTAATTTTACTTGACCCATGAAAAAAATGTACATGCTGTAATAGTCAGTTTATCGTCAAATGGAAAGAAAAGAAAACTATGGAAATGGTTTAATCTATTTCACAAGGTAAGTAAAATCACTTTGAGTAAATCAACTAATAGTTGCAAGTTGATGGATCCGGAGGTGCAGTCGAGGACTTCAATCAACCTCTTTCTTCTTCAATCCTTTCTTTTCAAGGGATACTGTGCGCTTGAGTGTAAATCTAACAGCAGAGTACTCAGTACCATCGCCRGGATTACTGCCTTGGCTTGATCGCGACGTGTTTGATGATGTTCTTGACAGCTGAGATAAGTCAAATGGGATGGAAGATGGTGGAGTGCCGTCAGAATCTGAATTCTACACAGAAAGAAAAGAGATGAAGATGTTAGAAACTAGAAATAAACAAGGGATGGGAATGGAGCATAGGATGGATGGAAATATGAGAAAGGGAGAGAAGAGAAGAGAAGAGAAGAGAAGTAATAAAATATGAGGGAGTACAGTGAGAAAGACCAGAGGGAGAAAGTAAAATAAAAGAGAGAATGGGAAAGATGGACAGGAAGGTGAGAAAATGAGAATATATGAGAGAGAGAGAGGGAAGGATGCAAAGGATGGGAGGGAATAGGAAAAAGAAAGATAAAAAAACATCATTTAACTCTAACCAGAACAGAATATTCCCAGAATAAATGAAATTAATCTAAATGTGCAATACTTTAAAGAAATATATTTTTACCACTCCATACTTACCTGTGAATTGGAGACTTCTTGAGTATCTTGGGAATTCTCCTTGTGTCCTTCTTTTTCAGCATTCAACTTCCTTTGCTGTTCTAAAAACCAGTTGGGTCCACATGGAGCACAACTAACAAAAACAAAAAAAAGTAAAGAAAGAATAAGATCATGTAATTCTTTGAAACTTATCATTATACTATTCTGCCCTTCTTTAACACTTTTCATTAACAAGGATATTAGAGAAATACGAAGACTATGTGATGGGTCACCCATAAGRAAAATAAAAAAYAAATAAAAAATAAAAAAAAAGAGAGAAAGAAAGACACTGACTTTGAAACTGTTTGTACTGTTAGAGATTATTTGTTTTTCAATGCAAAGTTCAATCTTGTAAAAGAGGGGAGGTGTTGATGTGATATGACCAGGACCCAGCAGTCATTCTTGGGTACTAACTCCTTTTTCTTTTCTTTGTTTCCTTTCTCATCTTTTTTTTCTTTCCTTTCTTCCTTTTCYGTCCCTTTCTTTTTCCTCCCATTCTCTTCCATCCCACCCATCTCTCTTTCCATCCCATTTTCCCCTTCCCTTAAATCAATTTTCTTCTCTTCACCTTCTTCCTTAAGTTCTTCTAACGTTTCACATTCCTTTACCATAACCCTAAAGGTTCCCATGATGCTTTGTAAAGATAGTCTTTAAGTGATAGTTACCCCAGTCTGTAGCTGTCCAGATAGGATTGTGGTACCATATCCATCAGATCAACAGATTCCTTGATTTTTAGCAACAACTCATACTTTTCTCTTCCTCGTATCTATAATAATAATAATTGAATAATTCAATGAATGTAAATATAAGTTAAAGAAAAGACTAGACCACTTGTATACATTTGTATTTTCAAAGGATCAAGGGTGGTGTAGTGGTAGTACACTCGTGACCTCTCACCTCTGGGGTCTATGGTTTGATTCCTGAACTTGGCATCACATGTGAGAAGATTTTGTTTAATTTTCCTTCCTACAACCTATAACATTAGTTGACTGAAATTTAATCTTGGAGTTAGCTGTGCCCTGACATTGATTAGCCCAGAGTTTTAGAATTCTATCTGTGAGTTAGCCATGCTCTGACTTAGATCATGCCCAGAGGTTGTTTCAGGGTTTGATCTGTAAGTTAGCCATGCCCTGACTTAGATCATGCCCAGAGGTTGTTTCAGGGTTT